GTGCAATGCACAACCCCACCTGCCCACAAGCATGTTAATCCCCAAGCCCATTTCTCCAGTACTGTGTGATACCGTCCCAGGGCCCTCTCAGGCGCAGGTCCCCAGACTTCATCTGCTGGCACGCTGGTGTCTGCCCCTCACCTATCTTTAATTCTTTAAAAAAGATTTATTTATTTTTATTGGAAAGGTAGATTTTTTTTGTTATATTATTTTTTATTGATTACATTGCATTATGTGACACTGTCTCATAGGCTCTGGGATTCCCCCAACCCCTTCCCGTATTCTTCCCCCTATGGTGGATTCCTCAACCTTGTTGCAGTATTATAGTTCAAATTCAGTTAAGATTCTTTCATTGCAAGCATAGAGTCCAGCATCTTATTGTCAAGATAAATTCAATGGTTTCTTGGGGAGACCATCTCTGGTCTGAAAGCAGAGCTGGCAGAATATCATCCCGATCAATTAAAAGCCACAACATAACATCAACATCAATTTACAACATTATGGAATTAATTGACATGGTATTGAGTAACAAATATGTTTAAAAATGCAAGTTCTTAATGCATATCTTTTAAAAAAAAAAAGGCAACTATGCTGGCACACTGGTATAGTTAATGCAAATTTGGCATTAACCAGGTCCAGGATGCCTGCCAGTTATCAGCTGCTTTTCTCCCAGGAGTGTAACACTCACCTAGGTACAATGAAAACTAGGCAGTTGCCTACCGCTGAGGATTGTTATTTTCTTAAGATTAATTTATTTTTATTGGAAAGGCAGATCAGATTTGTGGAGAGAAGAAGAGACAAATATCTTCAATCCACTGGCTCACTCACCAAATGGACACAACAGCCATAGCTGAACTAATCCAAAGCCAAGAACCAGGAGCTTCTTCTAATTTTCCCACATGGGTACAGGGTCCAAAGGCTTTGGGGTATCCTCTGCTGCTTTCCCGGGGCCACAAGTAGGGAGCTAGAAGGGAAGTAGAGCAGCTGGGACATGAATCAGCTCCCATATGGGATCCTGGCACTTGAAGAGAGGCTTAGCCAATCAAACCATTGTACTAGACCCAATTTATATGAAAAGTTTTAACTTATTTAACTTACACTTTAACTCAGGAATGTCTACTGTGATGACTTTATTCCCAGGGCAAGTACAAGTATTTGCCTGTTGTGGAATGTACAACAGATAGTACATAAAATCTCAAGTATCATTGATACCATATATACATACCTAGGGATAAGCTCTGCATTTGCAAATACTAGAAGAGTATTTGTAGTATTGTGTAGAAATAATTGGAAAGGGCCCATCACGGTACCCTAGTGGCTAAAATCCTTGCCCTACATGCGCTGAGATCCCACATGGGTGCCAGTTTATATCCCAGCTGCTCCACTTCCCTTCCAGCTCTCTGCTTGTGGCCTGGGAAAGAAGTGGAGGAAGGTCCAAAGCCTTGGGATCCTGCATCTGCATGGGAGACCCAGAAGCAGCTCCTGGTTCCTAGCTTTGGATCAGTTCAGCTCCTGTCACTTGGAGAATGAATCAGTGGATGGACGATCTTTCTCTCTGCATCTCCTTATATCTGTTAATCTGCCTTTCCAATAAAAATAAATGAACCTTTTAAAATAATAATTTTAAAAACCGGAAAATGTTGGTTATGTGTGACATGCACTTTGTCTTCACCTTTTATAGTTAGTCTCCTAGAGGACTTATACACGGTCGCTGCCTTGGCCTCTGTGCTATTTTGTGTTTCTAGATTCAAGATTGCCGACTCTCTCCCTCCAAGGTCCAAAAGGAACACAGTGTGAGCAAAGTTGGGCTTATCAGCTTATCACAAGCAGGCAGACCAAATTCTTGGTGAAGCCTCGGTTAACTCTGAAGGTCTCTGAGTAACTACTCCAATAAGGCTTATCTAGAAAGTGACAGAAAAGGCAGAATTCTAGTTGCAGTTGGTGAAGAGGCAGCAGTAACGCATACAGGCCAGAGAGAGGGGACCATTACTGGTTTTGCTATTTGGCCATGAGCTTGGTTTTCCCCTCACTCACACATGATTATGCACATTCCTGTTTCCATCTTGCTCCCCAGTGCCACAGGACAGCTGCACCGGTGGGTGCTCTGAGCAACGACCAGGGCTCAGGGGGGAGTTCCAAGTCAGCACACAGCCACACCAAGGCCTCACTGGTGGTCTAAAAAAGATGTCAGGGACTGCTTTTCCCTACTTCCAAGTGCAGACTGGACTTTGCTTTGTCATGGAGAATCACAAGTTCAGTGGTTCTTGTTCTTGTGATGGCAAAAATGTCACAGCACAGAAGTGGAGAAAGAGTGAAAACCAGTAAAGGTGAGTCAGGCAGTGGCAGGATCTGCGTGGATCACGCAGGCGTTGGGGACTCAGTGTGGGTGAAGCAGCTCTGAGCTGGTTCTCAGGCAAAATGCACAGACCTAACACAATGTCTGCAGAGGCCCGAGCTGCAGATCTAAAATTTTTGCTTTGAAAAGAGGGCATTCTAAGTCCACGAAACTGAAATTTCTGCAATGAAAGTTAAAAACTGGGCAAACATTTAGGGAGTAAATATGTGCTGGATGGTTCTTTCCAGTTTGATCATCAGTGAGAAGAAACTGAGTTTCCCTTGTTTTCAGTTTAACCCAGCCTAGCAGTGCCTGAGTTTTTAGACCTGACACAGAACTTGATCCGAAAATGACCAACCACAAAGGGATTTAAACCCTCAATCTTTTGACCCAAACTCAGAAATCAGAGGCCTTACCCGTTAGGCCACATGGTCAATATAGTAGGTAGTATTGTCGGAACTTATAATAATTGGTGTGGTCTTGCTTTAGAAATCAGTAAAATAAATGCTGGGGTCCCAGTGCTGCTCCTTTGTTTTGCAAACTGAAAAACTGAAACTCCAGATCACGTTTTTTTCAGAGCCTCAGAATTGAGCCTAATGAGGGTTTGGAATTGCTGAACAAGCCAGCTCATTGTACCTGCCCAAGGCACCTTCCCTTCCCAGGATTCCCCTCCGGCGTGGTCCCGATGGACCCAAGGCCCAAGGTCGGACCCTGAGCTTTTCAGGGCTGGCAGAGAGAAGCTTGCAGAGGCTCTCACATAATGAATGAAAAGACACAAAGCAGCAGTAGTTATGAGCCCCTTCATTAGCTATGTATGGCCTGACCACAACATCCTCCTCTTCCTGCTGTGAATATGGGAAACTTCAGAAAGTTCATGCAAAACTTACATTATGGAAAAACTATACATGGCTTTCACAATTTATGTACCAAAACAAACTTGCTTTCAAAAGTCATTTTAAAGCTCCCACCGCACTGATGCTATAATCTTCTTCACAAAACATTGCCTTACACCATACACACTGACTTATTTAAAAGCATATGCCTTGGCTAGCATCGCATGTGGGTACTGGTTTGTTTCCTGGCTGCCCCATTTCCCATCCAGCTCCCTGCTTGTGACCTGGAAAAACAGTAGACGACAGCCCAAAGTCTTGGGACCCTGTACCCACGTGGGAGACCCACAGGAAGCTCCTAGCTTCTGGCTTCAGATTCGCTCTGCTCCAACCATTGCAGCCATCCACTTGAGAGTGAACAAGCAGATGGAGGCTCTTTCTATTTGCCTGTCTTTCTTTCTGTAACTCTTCCTTTCCAATAAAAATAAATCTTTAAAAATAAATAAAAGCATATGCCAATTAAATTAAATTAAATTTAAAAACATAGACTAGGCAACATCTTTTTTTCTTAGCTTCTAGCACAGTGATTATATCCATTTGAAATATTTATTTTTCTGTCTGAGAACTATAAAATCATCAATGTATATATTTTAACAAGTAAAAGAGCCTTAGTTAGAGATCTTACAGTAGGGTAAGGGCAGACAAAGCAGTAGCTGTCCCCACTTGTTTCCATGTCCTATTAAAACGCTGGTCATTCAATTTAGCACTCCAAAGTACTGGTCTTACTTCCAAGATGAAGACTGGCAATCGTCAGGAATCTTGGCAAATCAGCTTTAAAGGATTTCCAGTCCACCACATTAACTACTTGGCAAAGAGTGCTGAGTCCAGAGAGAAACAAAGGCCCTGTTCCTGGTCTCCCACACTGCCCTCCACCGGCTTGAACTCTTCAACATTTCCCTGGTTTCACAGAGTAACAGGGAACCGACCTGGTACCTGGCAACAGTGACACTGCCTCTTGGGAAACCAAAAGAAATCTGGACATGTTGACAGAACAAACTAATTAATCATTGGATAGTGCACTTTACTCACAGGTACCCTAAAACTTCACGATTATTTATTTTCAAAACATAACTTTTTTTAGTACAATTTTTTTTTAACATTTAAATAACCAGTTTCCCGTTTTACCTGAAAACTAACCTAAACCAAACAGAAAAGAGTTAGCAGAGGATGGTTTCGATCCATCGACCTCTGGGTTATGGGCCCAGCACGCTTCCGCTGCGCCACTCTGCTTCCTGAGAGTGCAGTCCCTAACAACGCACTGAAATAAAAACAGCTGTGTATTCAAATGAGTGATTAACAAAAAATGGAAGTTTTTTAATCACATGCTGCAAAGTCTTTACAATAAAATTACCGACACCAAAGGGGAAAACATAAGCGGACATAACGAAAGCAACACACTGACTAGTAACCGGGTGCAGAGAAGAGGTGCAGGACCTGGCGGGGCTGAGCGCAGGCAAGGCCGCCGCTTCGGGGCTTAGCGGCAGGGGTTCCCGTGCGTCCAAACGCGCCTAACCATAATCTCCAAGAACCGTGAATCTCTTCATCTTGACTGCCAGAATGCCCTGAAAAACTCAAAGGTGAAAAAGAACGATTTAGGCAGATCCAATCCATTGAGAGCGCGCCAAATCAGCGCATTGTGACGTCATCGCGCTGAGCGCGAGGGGCGGGAACTGCAGCCAGAAGGGCGGAGCCAGTGCACACAGCCTGTTCTCAATCAGGTCCGCAATCCCGGCATATAAAGGGATGTTCTGTGTTCGTTAGCTACTTGCTGTTTGCAGTCCGCAGTAGCAAGCATGTCTGGTCGCGGCAAGGGAGGCAAGGGCCTTGGCAAAGGCGGCGCCAAGCGCCACCGCAAGGTGCTGCGCGACAACATCCAGGGCATCACCAAGCCCGCCATCCGCCGCCTGGCGCGCCGCGGCGGCGTCAAGCGCATCTCGGGCCTCATCTACGAGGAGACCCGCGGCGTGCTCAAGGTCTTCCTGGAGAACGTCATCCGCGACGCCGTCACCTACACCGAGCACGCCAAGCGCAAGACCGTCACCGCCATGGACGTGGTCTACGCGCTCAAGCGCCAGGGACGCACCCTCTACGGCTTCGGCGGCTAAAGCTGCTCCTGCAACCCCGAACTATCAACCAAAGGCCCTTTTCAGGGCCGCCACGATTTCATGAAAAAGAGCTAACACTAAATCATAAGTCCTATGGCTAGATAACTCAGGAGAAGCAGCTTTGAACTTTGTCCTGTCCTAATCTTTATAAAGGGAAATTTGGCCCTTCTGCTATTGTCCCAAGCGAGGGTTGACATTCCCGGGAGCCTATTGCTGCAGGCATGCTCGGCGTACGGTCAGTGACAGGCGCAAGATGGCGGGCGCAGAACAAAGGCTCAGTCTGAATGAGGGTGGAACTGCGTTTCTGTCTGACATGACTTTTTGTTCTGGGGAATGAAAAGCTGGAAGAAAGAGGGGTCTAAAGTGAGCAAAACAGTGTGGTAGAGGGAGCTTCGTGTTACGTAAGCAACAAGAAGCTTCTGTGAGGGTGTGTCGTTATAGAGCTCTTTTGTTATGTTATCTGCATAAATTAGACCCAAATGCTTACGTTTAACACGGCAAGGGCTTTAAAACCTGGCTTTTATAAATGCAAGAAGCTCTAATCATGGAAACAGGGTATTCCAAACGGTGCAATTTAAAAAACCAGTGTATTACTGCAGCCTACATCTGAATTGTCAAAGTGGGCTTGACAAGGAAAATGGAGTTGGGTTGAAGTGTGAGTACGTGTTGCTGCCATGATTCTATGTGGATGGTGAGAAAATGAATCTCCAGCATACATGCTTTTCTTTACCTCCAGACTGGGATTCCTGCTACTTCATTCCAGTAGCTGAGAAACCTGTTCAGCTGTTACGGATATGCCACTAACCACTGGTCCTCAAGCCTGTTTTCCCAGGAGAGGCCATCATGACCCCACAGCTCGTTTTTTCCTTAATAAACCTTACAACTGCTTGCCTGTTATCTAACCTTTATCATCATAATGTACTATCCTGGGAAATTGTCCCAGGTGATCCTCTGAGATAACTAGCCAACGTTTTCAAAACCATAAGCTTAGAGTCCCATGACTCACCAGGGGGGTCATAAAGAGTTCTTTCTCCTTTAATGCTAGGATACCTCAAGCTTATTTTTCTTCTTTATCCAGGAATTGTAGTTAAAGAATTTCCTGTATGTATTGTATCAAAAACCTAGTATGCATAATCAGCTTAACTACACACTGAGAATTTTGAAGAAAATTCTCCAGAGGAGTTGTTTCTTTTACTGAAGTACTACATTGCTATGAAAGTTTACCTGATCTTTCTCGTGACTTTTTTCACTACGCTTATGTATGTGTATACTAAAGAATCAAATAACATAAATGTAAATACATTATTTGGCCATTTATGTTTTTGCAGACACTATCTATTGAATGTATTTTAGTTGGGGTGTGTTATTTCCCATAATATTTCATTGTAGGTAGAGCCAGGTTTAAACAACTCCCTATTTTTTTTTTAAACTTATTGAATCTATTTACAAATCAGGGCAAGAGATTTCCATCTGCTGGTTCACTCTCCCAAATGGCTACAAAAGCCAGCAGGCAACAACAAATTGGAAAGGAAATGCCAGCCGTCCTCCACCATCTATATTTCAAGGATTACCGAAAATAAAATCAAGCATAGACATATAAATGCAAGAAATTTGAAGCAGTTGAACTTATCAGAAATTGGCTACATTAACAGTATTAGAACATGTTCATTGGAGACTGAGACAAAAGGTTCTTTGGTGCAAAAAAGATCTTGAAATCCATACCAAAACATTCCATAGATTGTGAATTTTGTAAGGCTCCCTAGTGGAAGCTAGAAGTTACTGGAATCAGAACATGAAGGAACTGTTTCAGGATCTGCAGTGCTGTCCACTTCGGAAGTCGTTTTCCCTAGCGACCAAGAAAGAGAACGCATTCAGAAGAGCTCCGTCCTGCCTAAACCACCCATCAGGCAGCTACTATCCTAAGCTTCAGTCAGAAGGACAAAGCTACGAAAGTTCATCTACATAACATGACTCTGCAGTGGAAGCGCCAAGGGAAAAAAAAAAAACTATAAAACAAGCAGAGGTAAAATAAAAGTGGAGAGGAGTAAATGAGTCTTGAGAAATAAATGGAATGGAATACACCTGGGTGGTAAAGTGTTTCCAGGTTTATCGACAAGTGAAACTCTAAAAAGGGGCTGCCCAGGTCTTTATCTGCTCCATTCTTCATAAAGGTACCCAAATTGTTCAAGCTATTATACTCTGCTTCAGTTTTGTAAATTAACCTATGGCAGCGACCGGATGGAAAATCCAGCCAATCAGGAAGCAGGCTCAAAAACAGGCTGCCTCTACTCTGAATACATTTGCCAAACTAAGGCTGTACTCACTGAGGAAAAGATGTCTAACAATTAACATGTACAGTTCATGCAAGGACTTCAGACATGTGAAAAAGGTAGCGATGAGGCATACGAAAAGGAAAATTCACAAAACCTAAAACATCAGTACTTGGAATTACAAGAAATAATGGTGGGTGAATTCAGACTTGCAAAATACACTTATCATAAAAAAAACTGCTGTATGACACAAACCTAGCTTATCCTACTAACGCAAACTCAAACTAACAATGTTACAGATCTTTCATAGGCTGTGTAGGTGGCTCTGAAAAGAGCCTTTGGGGTGAATTGTGCCCAAGCACGCGTCTACTTGGAGCTGGTGTACTTGGTGACGGCCTTGGTGCCCTCGGACACGGCGTGCTTGGCCAGCTCGCCGGGCAGCAGCAGGCGCACGGCCGTCTGGATCTCCCGCGACGTGATGGTCGAGCGCTTGTTGTAGTGCGCCAGGCGCGACGCCTCGCCCGCGATGCGCTCGAAGATGTCGTTGACGAACGAGTTCATGATGCCCATGGCCTTGGACGAGATGCCCGTGTCCGGGTGCACCTGCTTCAGCACCTTGTACACGTACACCGAGTAGCTCTCCTTGCGGCTGCGCTTGCGCTTCTTGCCGTCCTTCTTCTGCGCCTTGGTCACCGCCTTCTTGGAGCCCTTCTTCGGGGCAGGAGCGGACTTGGCTGGCTCAGGCATCGTGGCTGCAAGACTCAAATCTGTCTTCCAGGAGAAGAAGTCAGAGTGCGGAGGTCCGTGCGCCACCAGCCTATTTCTGCGCTGAACATGCAAATGAGGATTGTAGATATGTGGGTTTTCATTGGCTTGCTGGCTTCGCTGCCTGCTGATAGGCTACGACGGGATGCTGAGCTCCCCTTGGCTCTATCAGTATCCTCGCCTCAGACAGGACCGCCCTACGGCGGCAGACGTCCTATGCAAACTAGAGGCAGCCTGTTCTCACAGCTGCGTTGTGATTGGCTGGACGTGGCATCCGGACGCTGCCATAGGCTACTTTACGAAACCAGAGCAGAGTATAACTGTGCAGCTGCCGGGTGCTGGGCATCTTGGGTTTAGCTGAACCTCAGAGCCATCGCCATGTCTGGACGCGGCAAGCAGGGAGGCAAGGCTCGCGCCAAGGCCAAGACTCGGTCCTCCCGGGCCGGGCTGCAGTTCCCCGTGGGCCGCGTGCACCGGCTGCTGCGCAAGGGCAACTACGCCGAGCGTGTCGGCGCGGGCGCTCCCGTGTACCTGGCTGCCGTGCTCGAGTACCTGACGGCTGAGATCCTGGAGCTGGCGGGCAACGCGGCGCGCGACAACAAGAAGACGCGCATCATCCCGCGCCACCTGCAGCTGGCCATCCGCAACGACGAGGAGCTCAACAAGCTGCTGGGCCGCGTGACCATCGCGCAGGGCGGCGTGCTGCCCAACATCCAGGCCGTGCTGCTGCCCAAGAAGACCGAGAGCCACCACAAGGCCAAGGGCAAGTAAAACGGCGCAGAAAGCAGTGCACCACAACCAAAGGCTCTTTTAAGAGCCACCACTTTTTCTGAAAAAGCGCTGAAATACGCCCCAGGTTTTCCGATTTGCCTTTCCATTTCCCCGTGCACTTCGACTTAATTTTCTGAGCCATTGCCTACGTGAAAATACACCTTTGACATAACTCGTCTCCCACAGTCGCAGGGCAATTATGGGGAAGAATTCTCGGTTACCATCAGCCAGCCGCCTTGGTTTGCATGCTCTGCAACTCTGTCCGACAGGGAGAGACAGGGATTAAGGAAAAGTCAGAATTCGCAGTGTCTAAGGGTCGTGAGGTTTGCGTATACCCCAAAGCTAATGGGAATCCATTATCTGTGCCCGGGGGTCATTACTGAAACAGGACAGCGGCAAAGCTTGTTTCCAGAACCTAGAGAACTCTGAATAGTATTTTCAGAGGGTCAATAGTTACTACCTAGGCACTTTGTCATTTCCCAGGTGTCCAGCCCTGTAGGGTAAAATCGCAGATCCCACTAGAAAACAGCAGTCCAGGTGTCCGAAGGGGTCCCAGCTACACTCCAGGAAGACTCACACTATCAAAATCGCCATCAAGTGGTTGCCAGCATTTGGTGCCAACCGTTACATGCGCGGAGAAGCAGTCAGTTGCGGCTCGAGCTGGGGCGGGTTTGGGGCCGGAAGCAATTCATCCAATGAGAGCTCAGTGCGTCAGCACCACGTCATCCTCGCCGCAGCCACTGGCCTTACTCCGCGGGAGTTTTTAAAGTGGAGAGGCCAATAAGAATGTCCCTCAGTATATTTAAAGGGAGAACGGTGCGGAACGCACTCAGTCTCTCCTTGTGGCTGCTGCAGGCTTCCCAAATGGCTCGCACGAAGCAGACAGCCCGCAAGTCGACCGGCGGCAAGGCCCCGCGCAAGCAGCTGGCCACCAAGGCGGCCCGCAAGAGCGCGCCGGCCACGGGCGGCGTCAAGAAGCCGCACCGCTACCGGCCCGGCACGGTGGCGCTGCGCGAGATCCGGCGCTACCAGAAGTCGACGGAGCTGCTGATCCGCAAGCTGCCGTTCCAGCGGCTGGTGCGCGAGATCGCGCAGGACTTCAAGACGGACCTGCGCTTCCAGAGCTCGGCCGTCATGGCGCTGCAGGAGGCGTGCGAGGCCTACCTCGTGGGGCTCTTCGAGGACACCAACCTGTGCGCCATCCACGCCAAGCGCGTCACCATCATGCCCAAGGACATCCAGCTGGCGCGCCGCATCCGCGGGGAGCGAGCTTAACTCGTCCTTCCTTGGAGCACCGCACCGTGAAGATCCAAAGGCTCTTTTCAGAGCCACCACTTTGTCTTGAAAACTGCTGTGACTGATCTTTAACACTATTCATTTTCATCATTTTGTTTCGGGTGAAAGTTCTAACAAGGCAGTTGTGTAACACCTAGCTTCTTAGTATTTAGGGCTTGTAACTTAAGGCGCAGTATTCATTACAGAAAGTGTAGGAGCTAATAACCCGAAATGCTTCCAGTACTATACATAGCTCGGCGGTGCTACTACAAAAGTTAAGGGTTTTTGACTGGCGCCCACCATATGTTTACATGACAACTAGGACGAGTTTCCTGTAAGATTCCTGCAGTAGTAGCTGCTAATTACATCTCTTGTTTATGATTCAGTAATGAAAGTGATTTTGATGTGGTACTACACATTACCTTGTGTGGGCCTATCATTTCATTCTAAGTAAAAACCGATCTTGTCGCTATCTGCCATTTTACCCTACTTTCCCTGCATTAGGTTATGATAGCTCCCTCAAATCCACACCCTTATATGACTCCCACCAACAGCTGATTTTGACAACCAGAAATGATCACCAAAGAGCAGATGAAACTTTCGGACCTACAGTTGCTTTATCTTGCAGAGAAGTAGAAACAGCCACCCACACTGTCCTTTCACAATCTACCTTTAAAAAGATAATTATCAGTATGCAGCCAGTTTGCTCACCAGAATGTCCACAAAACCCTGGAGATTCTGGTGTAGAACTGACAGGGTCCTGTGGCAAGAGCCTAGGACCACCTGTCATGCATGAGATCTGGGTTGGGAGTTGGCTGAACCGGGAAACTCCCCTGGTAGGTCACAGCTCCTGATGGTAAGTTCGTGATCCAGTCTGGGTGCTGGGCAGGCTGGGCTTAGTAGCTCCATACGTTGGCAAGTGTGTGGCATCATTTTGGAAGGAGGTGGACCGGGCAGGACTGAGCAAAACTGAGCTCACTGGCAAGTGTGAAAACCAGGCTGGAACACAGGTCATAATGGACTAGAATAGCACACCTACTGGTTTGCATAAGCCAGGGATGAGAGCAGGCTGAGTATCAAAATCCCAACCATTTGTACATGGATCAGTGCTGCTAACAACTGAGTGAGTTTGCAGGCCAAACAGCCTATGTGAGCCTATATGACCTTTGGCACCGATTGGCCCCAATTCTCATGAATCAAGGCCCACCTAAATCTGGTTATCTCACAGGTGGTTGCTGGAGGCATGACTGTCCCACTGAGATGGGTAAGGAATGTGTGGTATTTCCCCTCACCTTGCAGGGTGTTGTGAATTGCCTCTTCCCAAGCTTTTGAGGACTTGCTCTCAGACAAGAACCCTGGTTCGGATGTGCCAAGCTTGAATAAATGATCCTTGTGCACTTGGATCTACTTCAAACTCCTGGTGATTTCTGAGGATCTCAAAAACTGGGCACAACACCACAAAGTCAGGTAGCTGCCTGCCCAGTCATTGGGCCTCATTTGGGACTTCTTTATTAGGAATTGCTCCCCTTGTAGGGCCCAGCAGATTTCCCCTCCCCCACCCTGTAACAATCTTTCTGTCCCGGTGTAAACGTGTCCTCCTTTTAAATGAGAGTCTGTGTTAGAGAAATCCTGCTCCTTTTTTTGGAGCTCCTGGTACAGGTAATCTATTCAATTGTAAATACATTATTTCACTGTGCCATGGACCAAACAACTTCAAATGACTCAGATTCTGAAACCCAGAATCGATCCTCCTCAGGGACTGGTTCCTCTGACTCGCAGGAAAGTGACTTTGAACCCGATTCGGGCTCTGAGGGAAGTGGAAGCAAGTCCCATTTGGGACTCCAATCCAGCCAAATGACTACTGGAAGGGACACTGAAGGCAAGTACACTCTTCTATCCTGCACCGGATGCAGCATGAACTTGGCCCCATCATCATCACTGTGATCTTCCTGGTGACCATGGTGGCTGCTGTTGCACTGTCTGTGCCGTCCTGGATTCAGACCCTCTGAACTGTAAGGACTGTGATCAACATAACCATGACCTTGGGACTCAAAATTAGGACAAATACTCATAGATCCACTGTACTAGTCTTCCAAAAATAACTGGACTTAATATCAGGAACATTTAATATTGTGACAGGCATTCTGCCTGCAGTGTGATGCTATAATTGGTGAAGCTCTTACGTTAAATTTTGTGCTCAACTGTCTATTTCAACATCTTATACTCACAGGACAAAAGGTTACCATTTTGGCAGAAGCCTTTGTGGTAGAGCTTATTCCAAAAGCAGAGAGGGGACTGTTATTTGGTCGGGACATAGCTGCAGTGTCCCTTAGACTGGATCTGGGCTACACCAGACTTGGCTAGACTCCAGCAACAACTGATACAGGTGAGAACCGTGGTTGGAGTAGGGTGGGCTGGACTAGGTCCCTGTCCCTGCTGATCCATACCTGAGCTGTGTCTGGGTATGGACCAGATTTAACTGGGATGTGGCACCCAACAATAAGAACCAGAATGGGTGAGGGCAAGTGAGGAAAGGTCAGTATTCCTGCTAGGGCAGGAGGTGAACTAAATAGGGCTGGCCCACGGACCCACTGGTGAAGACAAGATCTGGCACTGAGAGAGGTTCTGAAGGAAGAACTTGGGGAATCCCTCTGTCAAAACACAGTCCCTGCAGATGAGTGCAGGAATGAAGATAGGAAGCAACCCAGACAAGGCAAGGTAATGGAACCCACTGGCATACATTTGGCTCTGGGGTGAGCCAGGCTAGGCCAGTTTATATAACCCATTAGCAAATTTGATAACCAGAATAGTATGTGAATCAGGCCAGTTTGGGCAGCAATACTAGCCAGTTTACATTGTGGCTGGGACTAGTAGTTGGCTGGGATGGGCTAAACTATAGTCCCGACCAGTGTGAACTGGGATTGGGAGTTGGCCATACCAAGACAGGCAACAGCACCCACTGGCAAATGCTGAAATGAGACAGGCGTTGCCGGACTGGGCCACAGAGCCTAACCACCACACAAGAGTCTAGAGTGGAGAAGGGGGAAAGCTGGTAGGGAGGTTGCAGAAGGCTCCCCTGCTGGGCCACTACTCCCACAGTGAGTGTGAGAGCTGTGGGTACACCAAGCTGGGCAGGGCCACAACACCTGTTGACCTGCATGTGACTTGGATCAAGGAGATAGCCAGGCTGGGTTGACAATACCAATTGGTGCATGCGTAAGCCAGAGTGGATGTGGGTTTGTTGGGCTTTGCCGCAGCATCAGCTGGCATATGTTGGCCCGAGGGGGTGGCAAATTCTGTCAAGCTAAACTGAAGAATCATCTGGAAAGTACACATCTGAAAGTGGGAGTGGGAACAGTAGGAAATCAGCAGGCACCTCCTACTTGCTTTGCCCCTCACACTGCTGAGCCTGAGAATCAGGGACAGGCATGGCACCCACTGACACAAATGTGGACTGGATAATGGGGCTGATTGGGTTGCCCATTGACATGTATAAGAGATGAATGGGATGTGGGGCAGACTAGACCAGTCTGTTGTACATACTGGCAAACATAGAATCCAGAGCAGCGGGCAGACCTGGTGGGGGTTATTGCTGGTTGTTTCAATTAGGCTGCAGCTCCCACTGGTTTATGTGAGGGTCAAGTGTGTGGTGGGCAGGATAGGATTGGGCTGCAACATTCATTGATTTGTGTAGAAGACATAGCTAGAACCAGAACTGACCCAGCAATTGCAACAACCAGTGTGTGAATAGGCTGATACGGGTGAGAGATCCTAAACTGGCAAGCACACACAAAAATCAGGTCTGGCATCACTTCCAATGAGGCTTATTTTGGGACCAACTATGGATAGGATTGCAGGTTTCATGGCCTGTTTGTGGATTGCCCGTGTCAAGGCTGTGTCAAGGCTTCCTCTGTGGCTTAGAGCAGCGAATAATATATGCAGTTGCACATGAATTATATGGCAATACATTGGAACCTGCAGAGGACACCTGGTACCATAACAGAGGATGGATGACAAAGCAATCAATCAACTACCCCAGCCAAGTGGTGGCAATGACTATCTAGGCATGTGGAGACTTTAAGGTGGACTATGTCAACCAGTGAATTCTGGAGAGATTTCATCATACCTGGAGATGCGAGAATGGCAACAATTCAAAACTGTTGAACTATCTAACCCCCTTGAGCAGGACCTTCAAGGCATGCCCACATCAGTGACCCTGGGATGGACAGGAGGCTGGGTGTAGCTTCTCCCCTTATCAACCTCCTTCTCCCAGATACAGGAGGAAAAAAAGAGAATGTGGAAATAATGGTCCATCCACCTTCCTCTAGCCCTTGACCCTCCTCACACTGATCAACTTTGTAAAAAAAATCATCAAAAATAAAAACAAATAAATAAGTAAAGTCAAATCAGGGTGTAGGGCAATACAAAGTTAGCACTCAAAAGGGTTTTTATTTCTTATTTTACTTTCAGTTATTTGCACTGCAGAATAGAGACTGAAACAAAGACAGATCATTCATCTTTTGAATTACTCCCCAAATACTTAATCATAGAAATAAATCTAGATCATTCAGGTAGATAGCAGGGACCCAAACACTTGAACCATCACCTGCTGCCTTCCAAGGCATGCATGGCAGGAAAGTGAAATTAGAAGCAATGCTGGAGCTCAAAGATATTTTGAACTGGGATGAATGCATCCAAAGTGATGTCCAAACCACCACTACCTCAAAAAAAGGGTTAAAATTCCTGATTCATTACAAGACATGCGGAGAGAAAACAGAGATTTCTTGCAGATGAACTTCTTCAATTACTTCAAAAGCCAAGCGGACCAAAGAAGGGAACTTGGAATTCCATCCAGATCATCCATTGAGGCTTGCAGGAACCCAAACACTCAAGCCATTAATTTCTGTTTCATAAATTTTGTTTCAACAAGAGAATGAAATAAGAAAGCAATGCTGGGAAACAAATCCAGGTGAACCATTATGAAATGCATCTCACCTGCTAAGTCAATCATTGTATTGCAAATGAATTATTTATAGTGCTTTTTATTTGTAACCCAGAATCTGTTTTTAATATTTGGATGCATCTCAATAGCTTTTAATAGACTTAATAACATAATCTGGGCCAGCAGCAAGACTCAAAGGGCTATCCCCTCCCCTATGACACCAGCATCTTTTGTTTTTTTTTAATTTATTTATTTTTATTGGAATGTCAGATATACAGAGAGGAGGAGAGACAGAGAGGAAGATTATCAGTCTGATGATTCACTCCCCAACTGACCTCAAGTGAGCTGATCCAAAGCCAGGAGTCAGGAGCTTCTTCCAGGTCTCCCACATGGGTGCAGAGTCCCAAGGCTTTGGGCTGCCCTTGACTGCTTTCCCAGGCCACAAGCAGGGGAGCTGAATGGGGAGCAGGGCTGCCTGGATTAGAATCTGCGCCCATGTGGGATCCCAGCATGTTCAAGGCGAGGACTTTAGCCGCTAAGCCACTGCACCGGGTCCAACAACAGTCCATGTCTTGGCTGCTTCACTTCCAATCCAGCTCCCTGCTGGTGGCCTGGGGAAGCAGTAGAACACAGACCAAATTTCTGGGACCGTTAACTCACCAGGGAGACCCAGAAAAAGCTCTGAGCTCCTGGCTTCAGATCAGCTCAGCTCCAGTCATTGTGGCCAATTAGTGTACCAGCAGACCGAAGACATTCTATCTCCTCTCTATAAGTCTATCTTCCAAATAAAAATAAATACAGCTACCTTTTAAGAAAAAATAAGATAACTTAAGCATATATATAATCTTCCTTGGTTACCTCACATATATCGTTTCCCTCACATTATAGATACATTATTGCCACAGTACAAAAAAGTGGGAAATAGCCTGCAAGAACTGTAGGTACTTTTTTTTTTTGTACATGTTTCTATGATTCAAATCTGCCTTTTCCTCTTTTCCTCTGTTTTTTTTTTAATCACATCTCAAATAATAATAATAGTAAGATAATAACAGAAACACAGGTTTATTACAATATGCTATGTACTGGTCAAAATGCTAGCAAGTGTTAAATGCTCTTCACCCCCACACTCAACTATTAAATAATCCCCTATTTTCTTCATTTTGTAGGTGAGTAAACTGTCGTAAGTTAAAAAGCTCCTCCAGAGACAAATTACAAGTAAGCAGTCCTCTGTGTTGGTCTCCTAAAATCTCAGGATATTGAAAGCATTTATTTTGTTTTATTTTATATTTATTGGAAACTCAGATTTACAGAGAGAAGGAGATACAGGGAGAAAGCTCTTCCATCTGCTGGTTCACTCCCCAAGTGGTCACAATGCCCAGAGCTGAGCCAATCCGAAGCCAGGAGCTCAGAGCTTCTTCAGAGTCTCCCACGCACACAGATGCAAGGTCCCAAGGCTTTGTGCTGTCTTCCACTGATTTCCCAGGCCACAAGCAGGGAGTAGGAAGGGAAGTGGAGCAGCTGAGATGCAAACGAGCGTCCATATGGAATGCCGGCCATGCACAATGAGGACTTCTGCCACTAGGCTACCATGCCAGGCCCAGAAATATTTCCTATAAACATGATAGATATTTTGTTTAATGACACAGATTTGCAAATATTTAGGCCTACCTAATTCAATATATTCACTATCATAATGAAGGAAAAAAGAATTACAAATTGAAATTAGTTGTTATTTCAAAGGGCCATATGGAAATTGTTGAATATCAAAACAGTGCTATTTTATATGCGGGCCCAAGAGAACTACAATGATTTGAGGGTTTCACAATTACAGGTCTAATCACGTTACAAGCACTGGGGGTCAGAAACTGTTGATATGTCCCAGGACATGCCAGGTGAGTCTGTGCTGGTGATTTCAAGATTAGTTTGTGAGTAGGAGTGGACTGGCTGAACAGATTGAGCCTCCATGTGGGCGGCGAGGTTTGAGAGCTTTGAGAGCTGGAACGTGCTCATGCCTGGATTACTGCTACAGAAGTTTTTGCTGACCTTTGGGATTCTAGGATTTCCATCAGCAGCCCTATTATTGGCATTCAAGCTTTTGACCTTGTATTGAAAGTTACACCGTCCCCTCTGTGACTTGTGAAGCCCCCAACTATACTGTGCTGCCCAGCATCCCAGGCACACCTGGCTGCAGATCCCTATCATGAGACTTTCCAGTGGCCGTATTGGCGTGGCTCAGCCACCCTCGTAAATACGGCCTCCTACACTTGTGTGCATATGCTACCCGGAGAATGCTGACAGAGACTCTCTCCAGAGAAAGCTGAGAGAGTGCGGGCAGGAAGATGTCTATCCTAAAGCAGTAAGAAGCATTCTATGACTCAGAAGTGCACGGTCTGATTGGAACCCTACTTGCTGACAGGTTGTAACAGTCTCCGTATCTCTCCGCAGATACGAATTTGCCCAATCAATTGACATCATATCACTGAGCTAACCAATCTCTCACACAGAGAGCTCAATATACAAACACAAGTTGTGTCAGCAATGTGGATTCAATCTACTTGCTTTAAATGTACATGAGAGTACAATTTAGACTGAAGGGAGCAGCATCGTGACACAGTGACTTAAACTCCCTGTAACACAGGTATCTCATGTTGGCAATCAATCAAGTCTCTGTTGCTGTCCAGCTCATCCAAGTCCCTGCTGCCGTGCCTGGGAAAGCAATGCAGATGGCCTATGTCCTTGGGTCACTGTACTCAGTGTGTGCATATGCTTAGTGAATGTTTTTATTATTTGAAGTTCCAGAAATCCCCGATTTTGGTCTGACCCAGACCTATTTATTGTAGACATTCAAATAAAATGGGAAACAAATCAGAAGATAGAAGATCTGTTTCTCCTTCTTTTGCTATAACATTGCCTTTAAAATAAACAAATCTTAAAAAAAAAAAAAAAAAGAAGGAGGGGGGATGTTTTGTTACATTCAAAGGAATAATTCATGATAGTGCTTGGAATGATGTCTAGATTTCAAATTCCTAAACGTTATTATGGGCCAGGCAAAATGGCTCAGTGTCTGAATGTTGGCTCAGTGTGTATATGGGTGCCAGTTTGTTTCCTCGCTGCTCTGATTCTCACCCGGGTCCCTTCTTGTGGGGAGTAGAGAATGGCCAAAAGCTTGGGACCTTTCACCTATACGCAAGATCTGGAGGAAATTTGTGATTCCTGGCTTCAGAGCAGCTTAGCTCCTGTCATTGCGACCACCTAGGCAGTAAATCTGTGAATGGAAGATCTTTCTCTATATATCTCCTTCTTTCTGTATATCTGCCTTTCCAATAAAAATAAATAAATCTTGGGCTCGGCGGCATGGCCTAGCGGCTAAAGTCCTCACCTTGAACGTATCAGGATCCCATATGGGTGCTGGTTCTAGTCCTGGCAGCTCCACTTCCCATCCAGCTCCCTGCTTGTGGCCTGGGAAAGCAATCGAGGATGGCCCAAAGCCTTGGGACCCTGCACCCGTGTGGGATACCCGGAAGAAGTTCCTGGATCCTGGCTTCAGATCAGCATAGCATCGGCCATTGTGCTCACTTGGGGAGTGAATCATCGGACGGAAGATCTTCCTCTCTGTCTCTCCTCATCTCTGTATATCTGACTTTCCAATAAATAAATAAAGCTTTAAATAAAAATAAAATAAATGAATAAATCTTTAAAATAAATAAATAATAAAAACATTCACTATTAATTTTACTTGAAAGTCAGAGTTACAAGAAAGAGAGGGGAGACAGAGATCTTCCATCTGGTAGTTTATTTCCCAAATGGCTAGAATAACCATAGCAGAGCCAGTCTAAAGCTAAGAATCAAAAGTTTCTTCCAAGTTTCCCACAAGGGTACAGGAGCCCAAGGACTGAGCCATCCTCAGCTGCTTTCCCAGCAGGGAACTGGATGGGGTGTGGAGCAGCAGGAGTACAGCCTGCGCCCATATGGGATACCAGCACCACAGAGGAGTAGTATGCACACCACCTGGCCAGCCCTTCACCGTCTACTTTTGACACTGTAGAGAAAACTTCCAAGATTGGAGGCCAAGTAACCTCTAAGTGAATAGGTGTACTTGTGACATGAATTTTGAATACTCTCATGAGACATGCAGGCAATTGTCTTGATATGTGGCTTGTCTCCTGAGAAAGCAAAATAGCTTACTGTTCTTTATTCTGCTACACTGTGTGAGATTCTAAGGTTTTAGGTAGTTTTGCATTCTTATATGCCTGTAAATCTGTTAACATTCACTTATTAACAAATTTTGTTCTTTGTTCCTTTCCATTGGTGCTATTTTCCTGCTAGAAATGAACTTCTCGTGAGTGCAAATGGGACAAAATCCCCTCAGACATCTCCTTTAAATTTATCTGAAGTGGAACTATGACTGCTGAGCATAAACATTCCATCTGCACTATCAAGTAAATAACAACACTCAGATGCAGAAACGATATAAACGCTTATGGCTTCCAGGTCAAGTCCCAAAGGCTCTACTTCCCATGTAGCTCCCTCCTAAAGACCTGGTAAAGCCATAGAGGATGGCCCAAGTGTCTTGGGATCGGCAACAATGTAGGAAGCCTGGAAGAAGCTTCTGGCTTCCTACTGTCCCAACTTGGAATGTAATTATCATTTGGGGAGTGAAACAGCACATGAAAGATCTCTCTGTCTCTCCTTATCTCTCTCCCTGTAACTTTGCCTTAGGAAAAAAGGGAAAATCTGTGGATTCCTATCTGGGTCCACACAAACTCCCTATGCATATTTCTGTATTTCTTTAGGTAAATGACTGTATGGCATACCTTTAAAACAAACTAAATGCTTTCGTTTTATTACTTTTTTTAAAACCTTATTTCTAACACTATTAACATAGTTGAGAAGGATATATGCCCACATGGGTCTCCAGTTAGGGTGGATGTGACAAATGTCTCAGTTCTCTCCTTTATTTTTTTTTTCTCCTGTATCTGCAGTAGGGGAAGTGAGAGTACCATTCCTTCTTGTCAGACTGTATCCAGTATCTGGGCATGGCAGACACTCATTTGATGACACCTTAGGGATTTCAGTGTGGGGGACCGTGTTTTGAGGTTTTAACTCAGTGTTAACTTGAGTGATTTAATAGTTCTGAGACATCACTGGCTTTGTTGCACCAGGGTTGAGAACATCTTTCCAAGATTCACTGGTTGACCAAGTCCACCTCGGTGCATCCACAGCAGACCCAAAGCACATGTTTCAAAGCTTGGTCAGGAAAGAGGTCCAAACCATTTTGTTTTCAATCCGCTGACAAGGCACTTAATGGCCTCTGCTGGCCTGGAGGAGTTGACAGGCATGTCCCCCATGTGCATCTGGGCATGCATCAGCAACTGAGAAGGCCCATTCCTGATACATGCAAAATCAAACCACAAATCTCATGATTTTTTCCTCTGGCTGGGATTTGAGTCCAGAAATCTAGTTGGGTGTCCCCCAAGAATTCTCCTGGGGTGACCTCAGACCTGACTCTAATGTGCACCAGCCAGTGCAAGGTAGGGTTAGCTCCATCACCTGTACCGGCCAATACACATACTTGTGGATGCAGCTGTGTGGTCAATTCAGCCCCTAGCTCCATGTCTCACAAAAGACAATTACTACTATAGGCTAACCCAACAGAGTCCGCCACAAGCCTGCTCTTCACATGAATCAATGCATGCTGCAGCCTAATCTAGGAGACCTCCAGTAACCTCCAGTAACTATTAGGCCCACCTCTAGCATTAGTTTTTGCATGGGCTGGCATATGTTGCAAACTAGCCCAATCTGTCTCCCATCCTATCTGGTTCTCATGAATACCCATGGGTGCTGAAGCCTAGCTCAGTCAGTCTCACCCCCGGACCCAGTCCACCATATGCCAATGGGTGCTGTGGCCTTTACAAGCCTGGCTCGCCTCCAGTCCTGGCTCTCATGCTCACCAGCAGGAGTTGCAACCCACCAGAGAAGTGCCCACCGTTGCCCTACCAGACCCATTTCCAGCGCTGGAACCTATGAGTGTCCCTGGGTCCTGCAACCCAGTCTAACATGGCTGGCCCCCATTCCTAGCACTTACTTAGTTGGTACTGCAGCCTCGGCCAACTGGCTCACATCCATTTTAGCTCTCACTGGTACCTGCTACATCCTGGCCTAACCTGGTTTACCCCCACACCATGATTTCATATGACAGGGTGAGTGCTGTCGCCTAGCCCAACCTAGCCCACACCCATTTTGGCACTTGTGAGTACCAGTGGGTTCTGGCAACTAACTCAATCTGGCCCTCCCCTAGACCCAGTCTGCATGCCAATGGGTGCTACAGCCTTGCCCAGCCCAGTCTACCCACAGCCCCAGCTCTCATGCTCACCAGTAGAAGCTGCATACAGCAGGGGAGTCCACAGAGTATCCCCACCAGGCCCATTCTCAGTCCGAGCTTTTGCTCATGTTGGCAGGTACTGCAAACATGCCTGATATGGCTAGCCCGTAATATCTACCCCCACCAGCAGGTATTGCACCCTAGCCCAGTTGTGTGAGGTGCCACCCTTTCCTGGCTCTCACGTGTGCCAACAGGTATTGAGGCTTGGCCTGTGGTCATCCCAGACTCTTCTCGGACAAATGCTTAGGAATTCTAAAGCCTTACCTGGCCTATCCCAGCTCTTATGCTTCCTTTGCCTGCCCTCTTCCCCCACCACTCCCCTGAGAACTAAGGCTTTGTAGAGAAATTACCCAAGTTCCCCTATCAGGCAGGCTCTCAGCCAACCCCAGATCTTACCAGGGTTGGTAGGTGCCACGAGCCTGCAGGGCATAGTCTGTCCTCAGTTCATGTGCCAGCAGATGCTACAGCCTTGCCCAGCTAGGCCTCCTCCCAGTCCCAACTCCTACAGGTATCAAGTGAATTCCTGTCAAGTGAGTGACAGTCCAGGCTAGCTCAGCAAGTCACTACCCCTGGACTTATGCAAGCCAGCAGGTGCTGCAGTCCCCCAGGGGTAAGCCCACAATCGCCTACAGAATCTGCCCCCCAGATCCATTTCTTCGCATTCTGGTGAATGCTGTGGCCCTGCCTGATGTGTCCCATGCCCTGCCCAGACATTTGTGGGTAGGTACAGTGGCCTACCCCAGCCAAGCATGCCCCCTAGCACCCGTTTTGAATACATTAACAGGTGATCAGCAATGCTACTTTGGCCTACCCAGGTCTTCCATGTGGGCAGGTGCTTTGCCCTAACCTAGACATGCTTTCTGATTCGTCCCTCTGAATCAGTCCAACTCAACTCACTGGACTGCCTGCAAATACAATGTTTGGGCCCATGGAACCTCCCAGAAGTCATTCCTCCCCTGCTGAATAGACCCTCAGCTGCTCCCACTCCAACAGGTCCCATTCCCCGCGTCACCCTGGCCTGGGGAGCTGGAGTTGCCTGCCCTGGCCAGGCATCCCCGCCTTTCCCACATACCTTTTAAAACAAAACAAACTAATAAAAATGAATGGCATAAGAAACTGCTAGCATACTGGTATAGTTAACACAAATCTGGTATTAACCACGCCCAGAATGCCCAACAGCTATTGGCTGCTTTTCTCCCTGAAATGCAACACATGCCATGATACAAGCCAACTATGGAATATACCTACAGCTGTGGGGTGGGGGAAGATCTTTTTATACTCCATGAAAAAAGAATAAGTGTGCATACAAGAAGCGGATGTAATAGCCTTTAAATAAGGGAATGTAGAAATTTCAAATGGAAAATACCACAGATGATATTTTAAAGCACATCATTACACTAGTCAAAACCATACCCTGACTTTAAAATAGAATGGAGAAGAGCAAAAAGGAAAGAACGAAATTGAATTACTGTAAATTGAAGCTGTCTTAGCCAGGATCACGTGACTTGAGCCAGTCCAAACTAGACTGGTATCTCTCACAGTTCTTTAGGTCTAGTGTGAGGAACAAGGGTACATTCCACTTGTGTATTAGATCCTAGTGTCACACAAGATAAGCCGTTTTGATGTATAAGGTGCCCAGATATACTGAGGTGACTGTACAGTCACAAGCATGCGGGCCAGAGTTGCCAAGAAAGTGGCAGTAAATTGGATTGAAACCCATTCCAGGGTCAATAGAAAAACGACCTCCCCTCGCTGAACACTCTTGAAGTAGTGGAGGTAGGTAGTAAGTGGCGTATGAGGTAACCTAAGATATCTTCATAATTCTCTTCACAATTCCACCCAAGGCTGGTCTTTTCTATTTTAATGGCATGTGCCCAACCTCGGATCTAACAGGTACTTGCCAGAGAGGGAATGTATTGAAAGATACATATCAAGACTTTCACTGACTTATAAATTAGCAACCTGGTTACAATACACTAACCCCCAAAAAGCAAATGGTGACTGCAACGCTACAGATTTTCATAAAACTAGGTAGACAGGACAATATGTCTTGGTAATAAAGACACCACAAAACAATGAAGTCAGTAAAGATTTGGATAACTACTACAGAACTTAAGGACCAGAACTAAAGCATGAGGGGAAGGTAGTCCAGCAGCACATGCATAGCCAAATAAACCCAAAGCTACACCTGTACACAGCTCCTTTTACAGAAAAGGTGATTGGCTCTGAAAAGAGCCTTTGGATTTTCACGGTGCGGTGCTCCAAGGAAGGACGATTTAAGCCCGCTCCCCGCGGATGCGGCGCGCCAGCTGGATGTCCTTGGGCATGATGGTGACGCGCTTGGCGTGGATGGCGCACAGGTTGGTGTCCTCGAAGAGCCCCACCAGGTAGGCCTCGCACGCCTCCTGCAGCGCCATGACGGCCGAGCTCTGGAAGCGCAGGTCCGTCTTGAAGTCCTGCGCGATCTCGCGCACCAGCCGCTGGAACGGCAGCTTGCGGATCAGCAGCTCCGTCGACTTCTGGTAGCGCCGGATCTCGCGCAGCGCCACCGTGCCGGGCCGGTAGCGGTGCGGCTTCTTGACGCCGCCCGTGGCCGGCGCGCTCTTGCGGGCCGCCTTGGTGGCCAGCTGCTTGCGCGGGGCCTTGCCGCCGGTCGACTTGCGGGCCGTCTGCTTCGTGCGAGCCATGTCTAAACTGAACACTGCCTGCCTTGAAACCGAAAGTGAACGAATATATAACACGAGTGCTGTTCTCATTGGACAAGTCAGGCCTAATGGGCGGCTCAGAGCAAAGCTATTGGTGGCTACTATCAAGCCTGCATGAACTGTTTTTCCATCAACTAGGAACGTTTTCCTAGGACCAGCTTTTCTGCTAGAGTTTTCAGCCGGTTTTTTTCCCCCTCCTAATGCGTTTCATTTAAAATACTTGAGTATCTCATTATAATCTTACATATCGAGGGGAATTTTTCCTGGATTAATGTAATTTAATCGTTGGCACCTGGAACTGACTTTTGATCTTTTCAAAAAAGGCACGGGAGGTTTGACGGTAATTTTCTTTCAATTTAGAAAAAACATTCTTTGATCAATTTTTCAAATCCTGATCATGACTTTTCTCCTTAATAACATTCTCAAACATGGTATAATGAACACTCACATTAAACTACTCTTCATATTACACGGATGAAAGACACCAATTGCAATTACCTTGTGTAGACTGCCAAATCCATGATTTGTAGCCAAATATTTCAACTATTGGAAAAAGATGGATGACGTGGGGAATTGTACTTAATTCTTCCAACAAGTTGGTAAAGCGAGATCTCATAAAGGCAAGGGAAACAGTATCCATGGCACTGAGCGATATTTGGATTCTTGACAAGCAATGCTCCTCACATCTGACAAACTGCAGCTATCCCCATGAAATGATAAATTAAACTCCAACGACCAAATCTGAAATATGAGGAGCAAAACCAGCGGGTCTAAATAATGACGGTTTTGCACTATGAACTACAAATACAACGCGTGTTCGAAATGTTCAAGCCCTTTCAATTTGACTTTGTGGTGGCTCTTAAAAGAGCCTTTGGTTGTGGTGCACTGCTTTCTGCGCCGTTTTACTTGCCCTTGGCCTTGTGGTGGCTCTCGGTCTTCTTGGGCAGCAGCACGGCCTGGATGTTGGGCAGCACGCCGCCCTGCGCGATGGTCACGCGGCCCAGCAGCTTGTTGAGCTCCTCGTCGTTGCGGATGGCCAGCTGCAGGTGGCGCGGGATGATGCGCGTCTTCTTGTTGTCGCGCGCCGCGTTGCCCGCCAGCTCCAGGATCTCGGCCGTCAGGTACTCGAGCACGGCCGCCAGGTACACGGGCGCGCCCGCGCCCACGCGCTCGGCGTAGTTGCCCTTGCGCAGCAGCCGGTGCACGCGGCCCACGGGGAACTGCAGCCCGGCCCGGGAGGACCGAGTCTTGGCCTTGGCGCGAGCCTTGCCACCCTGCTTGCCGCGTCCAGACATGGCGATGGCTCGGAGGTTCACTTAAACCCAAGATGCCCAGCACCCGGCAGCTGCACAGTTATACTCTGCTCTGGTTTCGTAAAGTAGCCTATGGCAGCGTCCGGATGCCAAGTCCAGCCAATCACAACGCAGCTGTGAGAACAGGCTGCCTCTAGTTTGCATAGGACGTCTGCCGCCGTAGGGCGGGCCTGAGGCGAGGATACTGATAGAGCCAATGGGAGCTCAGCATCCCGTCGTAGCCTATCAGCAGGCAGCAAAGCCAGCAAGCCAATGAAAACCCAGACATCTACAATCCTCATTTGCATGTTCAGCGCAGAAATAGGCTGGTGGCGCACGGGCCTCCGCACTCTGATTTCTTCTCGTGGAAGACAGATCTGAGTGTTGCAGCCACGATGCCTGAGCCAGCCAAGTCCGCTCCTGCCCCGAAGAAGGGCTCCAAGAAGGCGGTGACCAAGGCGCAGAAGAAGGACGGCAAGAAGCGCAAGCGCAGCCGCAAGGAGAGCTACTCGGTGTACGTGTACAAGGTGCTGAAGCAGGTGCACCCGGACACGGGCATCTCGTCCAAGGCCATGGGCATCATGAACTCGTTCGTCAACGACATCTTCGAGCGCATCGCGGGCGAGGCGTCGCGCCTGGCGCACTACAACAAGCGCTCGACCATCACGTCGCGGGAGATCCAGACGGCCGTGCGCCTGCTGCTGCCCGGCGAGCTGGCCAAGCACGCCGTGTCCGAGGGCACCAAGGCCGTCACCAAGTACACCAGCTCCAAGTAGACTCGTGCTTGGGCACAATTCACCCCAAAGGCTCTTTTCAGAGCCACCTACAAATCTCACGAATGATCTGTAACATATAAGTGCTATAAATTCAGGTGTTGCAGTTTGTTCTCCTAATATTCTGATGTCCTGTTATTCATGCAGGTTTTGTGTCTCCCTTGCGATGTATAGTGTGAAAGTAGCTATCTATTTGCCGTTGGTCTCCATGCAGCTTTTTCATTGCTTCATTAGTCACCTGCGTAGCTCAGCATTAGGGATGTTAATGGTATGATCCGTACGTTTTCTATTAGTGGCCCACAAACAGCAATTTCAGGCAGTCACTAAGTGAGTTTCTCTAATACTGAGGTTAAAAATTAGTGGGAGGATGAAACATGCCATCTCATCTTGCAAAAAATGCCTCACTCTTGTAGAGAGGTGCCCTGAAGCAGCAAGCAATGCATGACAGAAAGTACCGGGCCTTATAGTTGCAAGTATTCCCAAAAACCTGGTCTGGGTTCACCTCAGACAAAGTTACTTTAGGGATTTCCACAATCAAACTGCCAGACTCGGAGCCTTAACCATGAAAAGACAGAACAAATCAACCACCTCAGCCATATTTTGGCGGCGAAAAACGGGGCGAACAGAGACTACAAAGATGAACTGTGTCTACCAGAGGATTCCTCAGTGGCCACATCATGCTTTAAATGGCGAGTTTGGCAGCAGTTCATTAACTACTGAACTGTCCAAACCACTTGAGCAAGATTCTCGGAGCATGCCCCATACCACGGACCTGGCATGGATGGGAGGCTGGGTGGGGCTTATCCCTTTACCTCCCTGTTTTTCCCAGTTATAGAAAAAAAAAATGTGGAAATAATACTCTTAACCACTTTCCTGTAGCCCTTGAACTTTTGTGCCCTAATTAACTATGTAAAGAATATCAAAAAATAGAATTTAAAAAAATTTGAGCCAACAGCACAAGGTTAGGACGCAGCTTTTACAATTTTAATAGAGCAAAACACTTGATGTTTAATGTAAATGAGATTTCTTTGCAACTGAAACTGTTGTTCAGTGTACCTGTTAGCTCTGCACTTGAAACTATCACAATGACGTTATACCACAGCGCTTTCAAAGAGAATAGAAACAAACACACATACTTGAACCAACACTGCCTATGCTTGTAGCCTGAGCATGCAAAAGTAGTACTTAAAATCCCAAAGTTTGATTGGGTAGATTGTGTTTGAACTTAAGCTCCTATGCAAATGAAGGGAATGACAAGACTCAGTTTTTCATTGGCTGAAATTGTAATCTGATTTTAACCAATCAGACTGGACAATTTTTCATTCCGGTTGGAAGTATAATTGCTTCCTCTCAGATTTGAGATTTCACATTTGAGCTTGCTTTCCCTCTGACAAACCTTCCCTGTGGTTACCAAGATGTCTGGACGCGGCAAGCAAGGAGGAAAAGCTCGCGCCAAGGCCAAGACTCGGTCATCCCGGGCCGGGCTGCAGTTCCCCGTGGGCCGCGTGCACCGGCTGCTGCGCAAAGGAAACTACTCCGAGCGCGTCGGAGCGGGCGCTCCCGTGTACCTGGCGGCCGTGCTCGAGTACCTGACGGCTGAGATCCTGGAGCTGGCGGGCAACGCGGCGCGCGACAACAAGAAGACGCGCATCATCCCGCGCCACCTGCAGCTGGCCATCCGCAACGACGAGGAGCTCAACAAGCTGCTGGGCAAGGTGACCATCGCGCAGGGCGGCGTGCTGCCCAACATCCAGGCCGTGCTGCTGCCCAAGAAGACCGAGAGCCACCACAAGGCCAAGGGCAAGTAAAACGGCGCAGAAAGCAGTGCACCACAACCAAAGGCTCTTTTAAGAGCCACCACTTTTTCTGGAAAAGCGCTGAATTACTCAAAGTTGTGCTGGTTTGAACCCTTAAAGAAAACCTTTCTCACTGGTCTAATTCCCACTAACAGAATGAAATGGTTAAGAAGAAGCTACATTTTCTGCAAATGAAATGGGAATGAATTCCATATTATGTCACCACATTTTTCACCACAAAATGTGTATACATATAAAGCCACCATACACTAAAAGCCTGAGAATGTGAGAATCCATCGAAGAACAAAGGATGTGGTGTGTCCAATCATTTCCCGGCGGGATTTTTTAATTTTTGGTATACTTGTACCTGGTTTTAGTGGAAATGTCTGCTATTTCTCATTCTAGGAAATGCAATTAGGACCGCACTTTTAAAAGGCCACATGAAATGAAATCGCCTTTGATAGGGCTTTAAAAGTGAACAGCTTAAGGAATGAATAAATTCTAAATGATTAGGAATCCTGATTAGATGACGCCGTGGGCTTCATTAAATCAGGCAGATATGCACCTTAACGTAGACACTGCAGGCAGTTGACCACTAGGAAGGCTTTTTAAGATAAATAATATTTATCGTTTTTTATTAGAAAGAGATTTACAGAAAGGAGAGACAGAGAAAGATCTTTCATCTGCTGGTTCACTCCCCAAATGTCTGCGCTGGAAGGATCTGAGCCGTAGTGCTGGCCATCTGAGGGGTGCATTAGTGGATGGGAGATCTCTGTCCCTGTCACTTTGTAAACATGACTGGCAAAGGAATAAATAAATCCCGTTTTAAAAAGGCAGCTTCACTGCTGCACCAGCCAACTTGCATGTTCTCAAGCTCCCAAGGCCTTTAATCATCACAACCATAACACTGGCCTGTGAAAGCTTGGCTGGTCAACATAACGTTGATGGAGGTAGGCAAAGTCTTCTTCCTGGGGCTGTTTGAACCCCAACCTCTGTGCCATCCGTGTCTCATGCTAAGGAACTCACTCTTTTGCACACCCCACCCGTGGAACTGACGCACACACAACTCAAAGCTTTCATTTCATATCTAAGGAAAGGTTTTTAAGTGCAAAGCATTTTCCGAATGGGTTCTACATTAAAGCACTCAGTGTCTTTGCCTTGCCTGGTGAAAAGAATTCTAATGATTGAATCAATGAGAAGTAGACTCACAGACTTTTAAAAATATAATGTGCAACATGTTGCTCCACAGATCACCTCTCTTCACAAGTCCCCTTTCAAATCTGTTTGTTCAATTTGGAGAGAAGCATTGAGATGTGCCTGGGGTGAAATCTAGGTAAATTGTGGAGTTGATGAATGGCATACTGGTGAGAGAAATTGTCTCTTAAAACCTCCATGGAGGTCAAAAGAAGTAACAACATTCATAATTCCATATAATGAGTTCAACATATGCCTTCAACAAATAGAGAAGGTTTAAAAACCAAACTCAGACCAAAACTTTCTCATGGAGAAAGTGTTTCAGGCCATTGTTTTATTACACGTAGCAATGCATAGAATTCCAAATAATAAAAATCCAAATATATGTTCCTAATGTATAATTCATTATTCAGGGAACCACAGAAAAATAAACTTATCTCAACAGAATAAAGATGATGAACAATATATATAACTCATATCAGAAAAATGGAGGAAATTTAGTTCAAGAAGATGTATTATGTCCTGAGGGATTATTACATTGTCAACTTTAGGTTACACACTGAATTGCAGAAACATACTTTTCAGCAGTAATGGGCAGAAACATGCAATTATTCTATCTTTCAGCTTAGTATTGAAAAACACTGATACGGGCCATACAAATATCAAAACATAATCATATTTTCCAAGACACAAACCTGAGTATGCTGTTTAGGCTATGCTTTCCTATGAAAGAGAATGCAGTCCTTCCTTTATTTTGGAATAAATATAAATAGTTTGATATGAAATCCTTATGTGATTTTTGACAGGTTTACTTTCCATGTTATAACCCCTCTCTTTTGACAAAAGTTGAACAAAATTACTTACAATTCAAATTTTTCCTTTTAAGGAATCCATGATCTGATTTTCTAGTTGTCATCTTTGCTGACCTGAACATAGCTTCCAGAAATCATCGTATGACCTTCTTTTCTCCAATATAATGATCTGGGGGTGTTGGAATAACTATTTCTTGTTTATTTCTTGTTAATAACTGCTTTCTTGTTTTTCTAATTACTATGCTCTTCAACACTTTTTAGCAGATCAAAGCTTAAGCTTTTATGGAAACAACATTTAGTTCTAGATACCCTTCTGCAAATATCTATATTCTGGGGAGTAATACAGTAGCATGGAATTCCAAGTAGTCGCCATCTACTGATTTCTTACAATTAAAGAATGCAAATATTAATAATCTCATCTCTATATTACTACATTTTCTCCGTGAAAAGTCACAAGCTTTTTGTTTGTTTTTGGACAGCTTCCTTTTGTTAACTTCTATATATTTCTAAATGAATCTAACTTTGAGCCATGTACTAGATTTCCATGCAACATAAAATAGCTCTTTTTTCTTTCAAAATTATACTTCCAATATTTTACAAAGAATCAGGAAACAGGACAAAATAAGAATTCTTGCGCAATGCTACACATCAAAAATAATGCAAACACTGTTATTTTGAAATTTGTAATAACCACATTTTAAAAAGTAGAAAGATACATGTGAAATCATTTCATTAACATGTTGCAATGAATATCAACTGTGAAAATATTATCACTTTGGTATATAACCACAGTTAAAAATAGTCACACAATATTTAAAATGTACCTTTCAAAGTATAGCTTTCGACTAGGCTGTACAATTATCTCATTATCCCATTCAATTTTCATTGAGAAATATTTTGATTTGCATTTATATTGCACAAACATTGTTTTTGTTACATTAAAATACATACCTAACACATGCCAATTGCATATCAGCTTTTAAAATTTACAAAACACTTTCTTTTTCACTCCGCCATCGTGATACGTGGCCTGGAGTCTTCCTCGCCATGTCTTCTCACAAGACCTTCAGAATCAAGAGATTCCTGGCCAAAAAACAAAAACAAAATCGTCCCATTCCCCAATGGATTCGAATGAAAACTGGCAATAAGATCAGGTATAACTCCAAGAGGAGACACTGGAGAAGGACCAAGCTGGGTCTGTGAGGAACTGTGCTAAAACAGATGGAACACATATTTTGTGCTGTATCA